TTTCAAGTGACCATTGTGTATACCAGTTTGACCATCCGTCTATATTCTGATTTTCTATTCTTCACAGCATTTTTATCGTGCAACGTTGAACTGGGTTACACGTTCAACGTCGATGCTCACATGTGCTTCAAGGTTCACGTCGTCACGAAGACCTGGACACAAGCAAGAGATACCTGTTTAGAAGAAGACGCCGAGATGATCATGCTGAACACACAGTCCAAACAAACTGTCATCGAAAACATCGTTGAAAGTGGTAAGGTTTGAGATAATATATTCAGCAAAATGTGTCATATCTGTGTAAGCATTGTACCAAACTGATCGATATGTAAAGTTTAAATGACTTTTAACTATACCTCTATGATGAGGATAATTTATGATATTTTTTATCACTTCCGAGGGAGCGGGTGGTCAGGCTCGCTTACTTGGTTGAAGCATGTCATCGATCCCAATTGCGTGGATCGATGCTCATGATATCAATCACTGGATTGTCTGGTCCAGACTCGATTATTTACAGACCGCCGTCATATAGCGGGAATATTTTTGATCAACAAATAAACAAAACAAACAAGTAACAAAAATGGCGCTTTGAGATTGACGAGTTAAATGAGAAATCTTCGGTTCATAACGAAACAGTTTCGAGAGAATAACAAACTGCAAGAAGTTATATTAACTCCATAAATGGATGTCATTATTTTGCCGTGTAAATGTGGAACTGACGTAAAAAGGACGTCAACAGTTTGTGTACGGGCTTGACACTTACGATAACGGGAGACAATTTAAGGGATGGTACTCTTGAATGGCAATAGTTTCGTCAAAGAGTAATGTTCACTGTAGTGAAATATCAAGTGTTATGTTCACTGCTATGAAAATATCACTTTTCTCACCTTCAGAAAAAAACTCAGCCTATCACACTGACGTATATAATAATCTGCAAACTTCAGCGAAAAGTGACGAAAGTTATAACGTCGACATATTATTACGTCACAATGTTTTGACATTACAAATTAAATGTACGCAAAAACATTAGTCGCCACTTTGCCATGAAGTCACATTGGCGGTGACAATACGATAGTGGTAACATTCTCAATAAATAGAAATACTCATATCCATTTCGCTCCCTATTTAAAGATTGACACAACTTTTTATTGAAAATGATTTGTTTAGCCAAACGCCGCGACCCGTGAAGATTCCGGGGTAGAATAGGTCTTCAGCAACCCATACTTGCCGTAAAAGGCGACTATGCGTGTCGTAAAAGGCGACTAACGGGATCGGGTGATCACTCGCTGACTTGGTTGATACATGTCATCGATCCCAATTGCGCGGATCGATGTTCATGCTGTCAATCACTGGATTGTCTGGTCCAGACTCGATTATTTACAGACCGCCGTCATATACCTGGAATATTGCTGAGTGCGGCGTTAAACAACAAACAAATAAAATAGCTTCTGCAGTATTCGTTTGAAAAGAAGGGAATATCTTTGTTTTGGCTTTACTTTCCTGCAACGCGTTTGCCGATGTGAGACCTTAAGGGAATGTTCCATGTTTTGGGGTCTCTTATCTGTTGTGTATGGGCGCGTATTCGTGTTGGGTCATTATTGAGTGGTTTGGTTTGGTTTAATTGTTGTTTAACATCGCACTCAATCTCATTAAAATCAGATCTAAGTTTTCGCTGTCGCAAAACAAAGATCTGAGGACATCCCATTACGGGATCCCAACGACAAGCATAGTCGCCTTGTACGGCAAGCATGGGTTGCTGAAGACCTGTTGTCCCCGGATCTTCACGGCTCCATTATTGAGTGAATTAAGTATATCCTATATATAATTTATACTAATATATATACTACTCTAATGCTGCATACCATAAGGCTTGTTAAAACCTAACGAAATGAACTAAGTAGAACAGCGTGAATTGGAGTTTATGCAGGTAACATGTAAAATAAATGGCTCGCAAACAACATGCTTTCCCGACAGAAAATTTTGTTTGTTTGTTTGTTGTTTAACGCCGGTCTCAGCAATATTCCAGCTATATGACGGCGGTCTGTAAATAATCGAGTCTGGACCAGATAATCCAGTGAATGACATCATGAGCATCGACCCACGCAATTGGGATCGATGACATGCATCAACCAAGCTGGCGAGCCTGACCTCCCGATCCCGTTAGTCGCCTCTTACGACAAGCGATACCTTAATCCTACTGGTGAGGCATCATGTGTACAATATTCTATTTTATAGATGGCCAAAATGAATACTTCCTCGGAGCAAGGAATACCGGTACGGATGGCGTATGGAGATGGGTGGTAGACAATTCCAGCATCCCTTGGTTCCCAGCGACTATCCCTTTCGGCATGTGCATGGAAGTGGAGCCTGGCCTGAGATATGATGACACCGAGTGTGATTTTCAGCTGCAGAAATATTTCTGCGAAATAATGATTTAATACGAGGGTAATTTTTATGTTCTTAGCCTCACATAGAGAGAGTTGACCTAAAGACAGTATCATGATCCATTTTTCAACATAATCCCATTGCATATTGATTCACTTTTGCCAACTATGTTGGTTGGTTTGTTTGCTTGTTTTACGCCGCACTCAGCAATAGTCCAGCTATATGACGGCGGTCATGAACATCGATCCGCTCAATTGGGATCGATGATATGCATCAACCACGTCAGCGAGCCTGACCACTCGATCCTGTTAGTCGCCTCTTACGACAAGCATAGTCGCCTTTTACGGCAAGCTTGGGTTGCTGAAAACCTATTTTACCCCCGGATCTTCACGGGTCTCCACGCAACACAATTGGCATCGATGATATGCATCAACCAAGTCAGCGAGCCTGACCGCCCGATCCTGTTAGTCGGTTTTTACGACAAGCATGGGTTGCTGAAAACCTATTCTATCCCGGATACTGGTGATCTCTAGCCAAATGTATAATGTATTGTTCTGAATAGTCAAAATGTTATGGTTACTTACTAGTTATATATTTATAGCTGTGGTACTCTAGTTATTTTGACCGCCTTCGTGGTCTTGTGGTAGAGCGTCCACCCGGAGAGCGGAAGGTCCAGGGTTCGATCCCGGGCCGCGTCATACAAAAAGACGTTAAAAGATTGTACTTGTTGTTACCCTGTCTGGCGATCGGCATTAAGGGGCTAAAACAAGGACTGGTCGGCTCGGAGTCAGTATACTGTGTCTGAGTGGGGTATTCATGTTAAACTGCGGTATGGTATCTCAGTGAGCTAGCACTATAAATCGGCATCAGTCCGGACTAGTACAAGCAGCCACACACACACATACACGTGCATGCACGTCGCTATATAAGTGCAATAATCTTGGACGCGACGTTAAACCCAATTTCACCTCACCTCACCTCTAGTTATTTTACAGTCCTTTGTCAACAGGTTTTATAGTCTTTATATATGCATTATTCCTGTATAACTTGATTTAGTCACGATATTGCTGAAATATTGCCGATGTGACTATAAATCTTAACTCACTCACTCACTCATCTAAACATATACGAATATTCTTGCTGCACATGGTAACAATGAGGGGCGGTCGGGTAGCCTAGTGGTTAAAGCGTTTGCTCAGTCGTCTAAGGCGCCGCGATTTGCTGAGAAGAGTAGCGTCCCTTGGGCACGCCAGAAACCTATGATTGTGGGTTCGAATCCCGGTTCGCCCCGATTATGTTTCTAGGTTTGTCAGCACCATACCCGTGCTTTTAGGTTTCACCGAAGTGGTAAACGTCTGAGACCTGCATCACTTCGGGCTTCCCTCCCACATTAAGCTGACACGCCGTGATGTAACTGGAATACTGTCAAAAGCGACGTTAAACCAAACCACAGGAGTCCGTTTCTAAAAATAGACGCCCTCATGCATATTCATGACCATCTCGCGTGTGGAGATGGTCATGAATATGCATGAGGGCGTCTATTTTTAGATACGGACTCCTGTGACCCAACTCACTCACTCGTCACGCCGAAGACCCGGGTTCGATTCCCGACATGGGTAAAATGTGTGAAGCCCATTTCTTGTGTCCCCCGCCGTGATATTGTTAAAAGCGGCGTAAAACCATACTCGCTCACTCACTGGTAACAATGAGCACATTCTAGCTTATACTGATTGCTATTAACTCATGGAGAAAGCAGACCGCCTCTGTGGTACAGCGTCCGCCCTGAAGGTCCGGGGTTCGATTTCAGGCCGCGTTATACCAAAAGACGTTAAAAGATGGCACTTGTTGTTACCCTGCCTGGCGCTCGGCATTAAGAGGCTAAAACGAGGACTCGTCAGTATACTGTGTCTGAGTGGGATAGTCATGTTAAACTGCGGCATTGTATCCCAGTGGGCTAGCGCTATAAAATCGAAATCGAAATCCGTACTAGTACAAGCAGCAACATGCACACACACACACAGGTGCATTGCACGTCGCTATATAAGTAAGTTATACCCCATATCACCTCACCTCACCTCATGAAGAAAGCAGCGAGCACGTGCCAGATGTTTGTTTGTTGTTTAACAAATGGCCGTCTGTAAATAATCGAGTCTGGACGAGACAATCCATTGATTGACATCATGAGCATCGATCCACGCATTTGGGATATGATGACTTGCATCAATCAAGTCAGCGAGCCTGACCACCCGATCCCGTAAGTCGCCTCTTACAACAAGGAAAGTCGCCTTTTACGGCAAGCATGGGTTGCTGAATACCTATTCTATCCCGGATCTTCACGGGTCACGTGCCAGGTGTATCCTGGTAACAATCAGCACATCCTAGCATATACTGATAGCTATTAACTTATGTTTTTTGGTTTGGTTTGTTGTTTAACGCCGCACACAGCAATATTCCAGCTATATGACGGCGGTCTGTAAAATAATCGAGTCTGGACCAGACAATCCAGTGATTCACATCATGAGCATTGATCCACGCAATTGGGATCGATGACATGTATCAACCAAGTCAGCGAGCCTGACCACCCGATCCCGTTAGTCGCCTTTTACGACAGCACAGTCGCCTTTTACAGCAAGTATGGGTTGCTGAAGACCTATTCTACCCCGGAATCTTCACGGGTCTATTAACCTATGGAGAAAACAACAAGCACGTGCGACGAGTAGCTGCTTTAATTTCCTGGTAAGAATTTGCACATTCTGGGTTTAATTGCTGATTATAATAATCTTACTGAAGAGAAATGTCACAGATGTATTTTTGCTCTTCGTTGTGGCATCCAGTGTCATCAAAATTCAAATTTGGTTCAATTTCGAGACATTTGGAATGACCCCTCTTTGTGTACTCCGGAAAGACTGTGTCGTCCACTGTCCATCTCCATACTCCGTCCTCGGCCATGTCTGTTGCTCCAAGGAAGTATTCATTGGCTCCATCTGAATTGTGTAAACAATAAACGTGATCGGAAAAAACGTGTTTGCCTCCACATTTTAGATATATTTCTTTCTTCAAGCATTACGTCTCTTGCTCGGAAGGGGATTGATCAAGTTTAACCGAGGTACAACTGCGCATACCCTTTCTTGGTTTGTTTGTTTGTTTGTTGTTTAACGCCGCACTCAGCAATATTCCAGCTATATGACGGCGGTCTGTTAATAATCGAGTCTGGACCAGACAATCCAGTGATTAATATCATGAGCATCGATCCACGCAATTGGGATCGATGACATGCTTCAACCAAGTCAGTGAGCCTGACCACCCGATCCCGTTAGTCGCCTTTTACGACAAGCAGAGTCACCTTTTACGGCAAGCATGGGTTGCTGAAGACCTATATATTCTACCCCGGAATCTTCAGTCGCATATTACTCTTTCTACCAAGAGTTGAAAGAGCGTCATAAGTCTCCTGTTCAGAAGCCTTTTGATCAGGGTTACAACATTCAAGGACTCAGTGAAGCGTTCAATTTTTTTCATGGTAGACATGTGGAGGAAATTTCCAAATTTGATGCATCAGTGACAAAAATGATGTTTGATGCAATTCCCTATTTTGACTTCTACCGTATGTTTATGTGTTTTTTAACTGAACAATTTACATGCCTTTGCATGTGTTTGTGACGGTGGGTCAGGATACTCTCACCTTTTCCCGAACACCATGGTATCTTCACTCTTTGATAGTGATTCATAAACACAGGCAAATGATATCGTCGAAATTGTACAATAGAGATTTGTGAATAGTGAGTAAGTGAGTATGGTTTTACGCCGCTTTTAGCAATATTCCAGCAATATCACGGCGGGGGACACCATAAATCGGCTTCACACATTGTACCCATGTCGGGAATCGAACCCGGGTCTTCGGCGTGACGAGCGAACGCTGTAACCACGAGGCTACCCGACCGCCCCCGATTTATGAATATTGAAAGGGTTTGTTGCTTTTGGTAACTTCTTTTGAGCAATGAATTTCCAATAAATATGAAGAGTATTTTGTCGCTATTATTTACCTGCTGCAACAATCTCTCGCATTAACTGTCGCTTCTCGGGAGTGTCTAACTTGGCAAGGTCGCCACCCTCGCTTTGGCATACCTCACGGCCTTTCAACCAGGTGGCCATGTTCGTCTGTACTTTGTAGCAGAAGTGCGCGGAGTTGTTGTAGACGTACCCAAAGCCAGCAGCTGCTCTACAAACTGTAAGATAATGACACATTTAAGCATTTTATATAACATCCTCGATTATCAAGTCCCTGTATTATATCTTCTTTGCGTTGGTTTGTTTTGTTGTTAAACGCCGCACTCAAGTATATTACGGCGGTATTTAATTAATCGAGTCTGGACTAGACAATCCAGTGATTGACATGAACAACGACCCACGCAATTGGGATACGATGATATGCACCAAGCACGTCCGCGAGCCTGACCACCCGATCCCGTTAGCCACCTATTTCGATCCCAAATGCTCATGATATCAATCACTAGATTGTCTGGTCCAAACTCGATTATTTTACAGACCGCCGTCATATAGCTGGAATATTGCTGAGTGCGGCGTAAAACAACAAACCAAACCAAAACAATATGGCTGCAATATTGCAGATGCGGTTTTTACATTGTAACTCATAAGTATATCTTCATTATATTAGATAAATGCCTTGATCACCTTTGTTACTATAGCCAGGAGTTAGCCGGATTGAAATGGTACGGGGTTCAATCGAATTACTCTCTTTGTCTGAAATTGTTAAGGCTGAGTTAGTGATAGGAGAAATTTAGCTGGTAACGTCACTTCCAAAACGAAGCTAGTGGGTCCAGGTATTTGTCATTATAGAATGGAGATATACTACCTTGGATACTCGAGGATGTATAATGAAAATTATTATAAATACTACTCACCCTGATTGGCGTACATGAAGCTGTTTGCCTGTGTCACCAGAGAGAGCATCTCGGGATAAACCGAGTGACAGACACACGTCCCCTTCGTCACATCATAGTTCGCAGTAACGGCTTTCTCTCCATCACAAAAGAGAATACAGTCTTCTGTACAACTCAAAGTCGCACGGGAGAGAATGTGATCGATACCAAGCTTTCCTTTTTCCGCGAGGTAATATGTTTTTGAGCTTATAACGTGAACGCTGAGCGAAGTAATCAGATAGAGAGATATGCAGAGCATAGTCAACCGCTTTCAAATTCAGCTCGTAAACAATGATGCGTATGTTTCGAGGAGTAGAGCCCTTACTGGTTCTTGTGTTTTGAAGTCAAGGGTTTGCTTGCGCGTCGTTGATGTGTTGTTTACCTGTTGTGAATATATGTACACTACGAAAATGTGAAACGTAATTATCAGTGCACCAGCCACACTTCAAACACATTCAATGAAGCATGTTCGCTTGATGTCGACTTGCTGCGAAGAAAAACTACACTAGACGTAGACACACATTAAACGCATTCAATCAAGCATGTTCGCTTGATGTCGACTTGCTGCGAAGAAAAACTACACTACAAACATCTGAAAAACGCTCTGTCCAGCATACTGGAAGTACTGTTCTTTTTTTCAAAAGACAGAGGAGACCAAAGCGTCTGGTTAAAGTCTTTGATGACGGTGTATTGGGGTGTAAAATTATACAACGTCAATACCAGAGGATAATCTCGTTTATCCGCCGAAACAAATTTTCATTTGGCGCAAAAGGCGGTGACGGGGATATGAATGCATCACTGAAACGGAATGCTTTTTATTATCAATTGGGGTTGGTTGGTTGGTTGTTTAACGCCACCCTCAGCAATATTCCAGCTATATGACGGCGGTCTGTAAGTAATCGAGTCTGGACCAGACAATCCAGTAATTAATATCATGAGCATCGATCCACGCAATTGGGATCGATGACATGCATCATGCAAGTCAGCGATCCTGACCGCCCGATCCCGTTAGTCGCCTGTGAGGACAAGCATAGTCGCCTTTTACGGCAAGCATGGGTTGCTGAAGATCTATTCTACCCCAGTTTAGAAGGAAACCGCATGATAATGCATTTACAATGTCCTTGATACCTACATTTGTTTTATCATCATATTTTATTTCATTTCACATTTAGAGATCCCGTGAAGATCCGGGTTAGATTGTTTCTTCAGCAACCGAGGTTAGGCTAACAGCAAGTCATTTTATCCCAATTGCGTAAATCCATGATCATGATGTTAATCCCTGGATTATCTGATCCAGGTACGAATATTTACAGACTGTCGTCATGTAAGTGAATATGGTTTTCTCTGGTATTGAAGTTTTATATTATAGAATTGTTCTTTTATCGGTTATTTTTCTAGGTGTGTCAGCACCATACCCGTGCTTGTGGGTTTCACCGAAGCGGTAAACGTCTGAGACCTGTATCACTTCGGGCTTTCCTCCCACATTAAGCTGACACGCCGCGATATAACTGTAATACTGTTAAAAGCGGCGTTAAACCAAACTCACTAACTCTTTCACCGGACTGTGTGTATATGTGCGACTGCTTGAAAGACTGATTTGGCTCGCTGACTTGATTGATGCATGTCATCGTATCCCAATTGTGTGGATCACTGGATTGTCTGGTCCAAACATGATTATTTACAAACCGCCGTCATATAGGTGAGTGCGGGGTTACACAACAAACAAACAAATGTACGTAAGAGACTAAGGCCACCATTCTGCGTTTTAAAGTATGAATGGCTCTATTGTTTCATGAATTTGAAAATGTATCTAAAACAAAGCAACGTTTAACATCCGGGCGTGCCACATGTATATAAACTTATGATCATAATTTTCGTTTTATAAGTTAATGTGAGTAATAATAACAAAACTGCATCCATCGAATGAAATGTTGATGCATCTTTATTCGGGAAATCGATTTGTCCTGCAGCTCTCCGTGCTGTATCGATCAAGGGTATTTACAATATTCAACCTGACGGTTTCTTGGATACTACCATCTTCCCGAGTCAAGGGCGTTAACTGACTGTAAAAGTCCAGTTTCCATCCTTGCCGACCAAGGCTGGAATTTCTGTGTTCCATCGGGGTGCCACCAGTGGCTAGTACGAGTTTTGTCCCTTCTATGTGCCTCCTACTGACCAATCAGATTTCATCTCTCATATCACTTGTATTTGCTTCAATCAAAATGGCGTCGCCCATTGAAGACGATCTGATTGATAATCAAGATCTATATTGTAATAAAACGGGTCTTACCTGGGGAGTGTATCAAATCACGTGAAAAAACAGATTTGGAAATCTGTTGACGCTAAGCTGTCGGTACACATCCTTGCTGTAAAAGGCGATACACATCCTTGCTGTAAAAGGCGACTATGCTTGTCGTAAAAGGCGACTAACGGGATCGGGTGGTCAGGCTCGCTGACTTGGTTGATGTATGCCATCGATCCCAATTGCGTGAATCGATGCTCATGATATCAATCTCTGGATTGTCTGGTCCAGACTCGATTATTTACAGACCGCCGTCATATAGCTGGAATATTGCTGAGTGCGGCGTTAAACAACAAACAAACAAGAACACATGCTTTGCAATCGACCGATTTCGTTACTTGATTTTGATTGGACTATGCATAGAATCCTTAGACCAGCCCAAATATTACTCATAACTCCCGCCTAGTTCGTGGAGGAAACTGGACTTTCATATTCAGTTAACTCCTTTGCCTCGGGAAGATTGGATACCACGCGTTCTTATCACAATGAGCAAAAACTACAGATTTTACGATCGCTTCCGCCAATACGAGCTCAATAAATCTATCTGTGGTCCTGAAAATACACCTCCATTGACGTCATCATAATGTTCTCCAATCGGTTATAATCTCATTAGTAGAGATGTTATAATATGCTTGGGTTTTTGTGTAATATCCGGGGGACGTTATATATTATCCCAGGGGTTTTGTATAATTTACAAAAAAAAATTGTATATCCGGGTGATTTTATTGATATAATTCCGCTGATATTGTCACATGTGCATGTCTCTCGCAAGAAATATATTTGGATGCAATGTGCGGAATGATGTCAAATCAAATGACAAATTAATGTTTTCTGTATATCTCCGTGGATTGAACTTGCAACCTTCGTAATAGAAGCGCTGGCTTTGGTTGGTTTGTTGTTTAACGCCGCACTCAGCAATAATCCAGCTATATGACGGCGGTCTGTTAATAATCGAGTCTGGACCAGACAATCCAGTGATTAATATCATGAGCATCGATCCACGCAATTGCATTGGGATCGATGACATGCATCAACCAAGTCAGCGAGCCTGACCACCCGATCCCGTTAGTCGCCTTTTATGACAAGCATAGTCGCTCTTTACGGCAAGCATGGGTAGCTGAAGATCTATTCTACCCCGGAATCTTCACGGGTCACAGAAGCGCTGGCAAATTACAATGCTTTTAAGAATATCTTTTTCAAGTATCTGTACGCCAGCAACAGAAATTTTAAGCCCGTTTCCTAAAGTTCATGGAAAGTATGTTTGAAACATAAAACTGTGAATAAATGTTGTTTTTAATTCCTATTTTTTGTTCATTAGTTAGATAAAACACTTTCCCCGATTTCTTTAGGGGATTATCAATTGGATTCGGGTTTTAAAACTCATAAAACCTCTCTCACGTGTTTCATCCGACACTGAAAATATGCGAAGGTGTGTGTACAACTCAAATGTGTATGAAGAACACCTGATTCTTGATATCACTACAGGTAAATAAAGGTCCGTTCACACGGTGCGATTTGTAGTAACAACTTGTAGCATGCAACACAGTTGCAACGTCAGAACACCCTAATCGTAACGATTTCAATCGCTTACACTAGCCTGGCATTCGTGACCAACTTGTGTTATGCCGGTACAAGCCGAATAGCGACTCGTGCCATTTTTGCGACTGGGTTCCGTCTAAGCGCAAACGGGCATCGCTAAAAGAATTGTCAACGCGTTGCGTAATGATTCACCTATATTTCCTCCATATATCATATATATTCCCGATGCTACTGAAAACACATTGGGACTTACATTATTATACAGTATAGTTGAACTCATTTAACTGTATGTTGGGTATATTTTTAAATGCATGACATATTTAAATCTGAAATTATTCGTGAGGGATTCTTTGACCGAAGTACTTGAAGTCATACGCGCATTCTGATTGGTTTGTCGTATTTTCGCACATAACATTCATCGATAGTGGGTGGATGGGTGGGGTCTTCTTGTAGCTTACGGAAAGAGGTGAGTGGTGACGAATGCTAGCCTAGTTGCAGCCGAGTTGTACGACATATATCTCCGCCAATCAAATCGCGTAGATTTGTGACGCCCGGAGTGACGTCCCTTTGTTTGTGTTGACATCATGTCCAAACCACGACTGAAGAAACGTGGTCTTTCCAGAGAAGAAACTGAACGGTTTGTCAGCTTTTAGTTGTCCCAGGAATGCCTATGGAATGTCCGACATGTCACCTATTTCAAACGGGACAATAGACCAGCGGCGCAGTGAATGATCGCGCAACAGATGTCCACGGAGAGAAATGACAGGTGAGTTCAGCCTCGGTCACACTGACCCAGCAGACGACATGTGCGTTTTGTTTACATGCAGGTTTTAGGTTTTCTCTACGAGTTATGAAATTATAGTGACAGAATTTTGGCTGTAATTATCAACCGTAAATAATTCCTTTACTCTCCTAATGTCTGACATTCTTTTGTTTCAGTGGAACAAGGTGGGTCAAAAATTGCCAGTCTTCGGACTTACTATGGCCGCGAGCTACGTAAGATCACGCAATCGGAGAAAAATGGAACTGGCGTTGATAATGTTTATCAATCATTGTGGGAGTTCTTCGCGGTCCTCGACCCATTCTTGAGATGTCATGTGCAACGTTTTAATCGAGAACTGTGTCAACATATTTTTCAAGCGACCTTCTGCTAACAATCTGGTAATAGTCGGTGGTATGGTTGTCTCCTATAATTTTATTGCATATGCAAGCTAAAACTGGCACCTCAGCAAAACGGCACCGATTTCATCTGGCGAAAATTATGTTATTTTGATACGCCTTGAAAATGTGCACCAATGATACAAAATATAACAAATTTTTAATGCTTATGATTTTCTGAGCTTTATTTTATATGAATAAATACTGAATACATAGTGAAAGTAACCATAAACTGGTGTATCGATGAATTTTAGCGTGTTATGCAATTCCTCTATTTATATAATAATAATGATAATAAGATAGTTTATCTATCTTTTCTGATTAGATATGGTAGTTGAGTTCACATGACAAATTGAAAACTAATATGAAATAAGAAACAACACATGAAATAACAAATTGGTTTAATTATAATTGTTTTATTTCTTCCAATGTTGGTTGGTTGGATTGTTTGTTGTTTATTTGTTGTTTAACGCTGCACTCAGCAATATTCCAGCTATCTGTAAATAATCGAGTCTCTTGCAATGTACAATGATTATGAAGCATTGAATGTGGTCTGTATGGCATGTTCATGAATAACAATAATCACCATGTTGCCAATTACCATTTGTGTTAATTAAAATGAAATTTACATTTTATTCAGATGAGGGAACCAATGTCCATCCCCAGCAGAGCAGCAGCTATCAATGATGCTGATACTGACACCAACACTGAATGCACAGGCAACACGGAGTGCACCACAGACTCCGCTGACAACGACTGCAGTCAAAAGGTTAGTGTTTTCAATATTAAGATTAAATTACACAAATACCTACATCGCTACATATAATATTATTGGAGATTCAAACAATGTATGTCAAGTAGAAAACAACTATTTGCTGTTGACAATACAAAACTCTGCCCTGAAATATGTGCCAGAGTATTGCATCTTCCCGAGGCAAGTGAGTTAACTGACTATAAAAGAGGAAACTGGACTTTTTAAGTCAATTAACTCTCTTGCCTCGGGAATATGGAGTATTCAAGCACAATTTGGAATTTTATGATACATGGTTAACTAATATATCAGAAGTGATTTAGATTGATTTTCTTAAATGTACAACACAATTTCGTTTTTGCTGACTTCTTGCCGCCTTGAGAGTGCAGGAAACATGTGAAAAAGGTGAAGGTCAACAGAAGGTTCAGACATGGAAAGTCTTATGTATAAGACCTTGAGTTTAATTGATCAAAAGAACAGGAAAAAGAATGACTTTTGAAATGATCCTGATGTACTTTTTGGACAGCAAGTTGGGTTGGAACGAAAGAGAGTAGAAAACTTGAGACAAGAACTAAAATTAAGAATTCAAACCCTAATAATGGAGTATCAGTTTGAAAATGAGGCATAGTAATTTTATTGTAAAGTACTTACCTTGCATGTTCTGTAAGTATTTTTTTCTTTTGATTGATTAGTAGTCTTAAGTTTAGCAAGTGTAGATTCACTATAAATCTGAAAATTCTTCATGGCTCCTTTCATAATAAATAATTTATCCCTTCTAATGGGAATAAAAATGAAAGAAACATGATTCAGAGATCAAGGATTATCCAGTTTTTTATAAATCTGTTCATTTTCGGATAACTGAAATATATCCGTGAAATGATTTATGAAATAGATTTACAATCAAATCCTTCAAACAGAATGGAGCTGTGTAGGTAGATTTAGTTTTCATGCTGTTAGTGCCAAATGACAAATATTGGTAGCAGTTAATGAAATTCAAGATTGAAATAATAAATTATAAAAAATGTGATACTAGCACTCAATATTACCTTGTCACAAGTTTGTTTCAAATATAAATGTTCATTTTTCTATGTGCTTGGAATCGAAAGGGGAAAACAGCAAATATTGATGTGTTGTCAGTTTGATGTTTGTGGTTTAACACCACACTCACCAATATTCCAACTATATGATGGCAGTCTGTAAATAATCGAGACTGGACCAGATAATCACGTGATTGACATCATAAGCATCGATCCACGCCATCGAGCCGGACTACAACAAGCAGAGTCGCTTTTTACAGAAAGCGTCAAGATCAAAGAAGTACTAAAAATTTATAAATTATTTTTGTCCTTTTTATCTTTATTGAATTTTGATTTAGGTGAAACCTATATTAAAGTATTAATATACTCGAATGATCATAACTAGGACCCAGTCACAAATGAAATGTTATAGATAATTTCACATATGATAAAAAAATATTGTTCAACAAATTTGAAGTATTTACTTACACTATTGATGAATAGGTATGAACTATTTATATAACCCGTGAAAATTCCGGGTTAGAAAGGTCTTCAGCAACCCATGCTTGCCGTAAAAGGCGACTATGCTTGTCGTAAAAGGCGACTAACGGGATCGGGTGGTCAGGCTCGCTGACTTGGTTGATACATGTCATCGGTCCCAATTGACCTCTCCGTCGAATTTTATTGACAGCTGACTTGACCAATCAGCGAGTCGCTCTGACAGTATGCGCACGCATACTTTGACTGCAGTCACTTCCTTAGACAAACAAGCTTGTCTAAGTTTGGCTGGCGCGCTTTACGCAATCGTTCTATCGGCCAACTTATCCAGAAAAAATGGTAAAGAGGTGCAGTCACGGTCTGTGCAATAGTGATGACAGGTATCCTGAACGACTAGGAGGCGGTGTCAAGTTCATACCGTTTCCAAAACCGAAGACTGACTACGAGAAGTGCCTACGGTGGATAAAACTTTGTGGACGACCGCATAATCAGCTCAATCCGTCAAACATCAACTGCAATAGATATGTTTGCACAAAGGTACATTTCCCGTACATTTAATCAATTTTATAGATGGATACGTCATTGAAGTTTTGTTTGGCAGCGATCGGTTTTCCTATTACCATTGGCCAAGTAGTGAATATAAATTACCTGGGTTGGTAATCGTCGAACATATAGATCTATGTATATAAAGATTTCACAAACCTATTGAAAACTTTTGAATTCATTGTGTTTATATACATTATACATCGGTTTATCCACATAATAGAGGTTATTGTGTTAAATTTGATTTTCAGCACTTCGTCAACAATTTTCCATGTGAGCAACATCCAGACCCATTACCTGCCAATCACTTTGACAAGGCTGGACTGAGTAGGAAGCCCCCTACAAAAAGAAAGCCCACCCATGATGGAACTCAGAGGTTTGTGTACACTGTAAGAAGCCATTGATTGGTACATTACAAGTTGATTATCCATTTACATGATCAAATACTTTGTAAAATTTCTACAGTTGATTCAGTTGTTCCATCTTGTTCACATAAGTTCATAAATAAGATTTTCTCATCTTGTAATGAATACTGCCCAGGGGAAATGTATGTTGTTAATTTGGATGAAATAAAAATAAATGAGTTCTGCATGTAACAAACAATAAATAGGGTAGGTAGGTATGGCTTTTGTTCTTTAAATTGTTTGTTCATTTAATAAAAGTTTGATAACGATATTGGCTAATGTGAAAATTCAGTGTTAGCAAAAAAGTTGGAGAGATTGGAAGGTAATACAAGTTGAGATAGCACACAGGGAAATTTATTAGATTTGTTGAGTGTCTTTAGTTCTCGTTAACACCAAGTATGATGTGAAATTGTTTGATAAGGTAATGTATGAATCCAGTCAGCACCTATATGGGTCACACTTTATCCTCTTTTGCTATTAAACATTGTTATATAACACTCATGCACATTATACTGTATGAACTCAAATAACAGACACACAAATATTTGATATTGGTTTAATTTTATCTTCTCAAACAACAATCAATAGTAACTTTGTAAAAGTTTATAGTTTCAAATATTGTTGCAGATTGGAGCCAACAGAAAAGATAGCTAAATCTGACAACCCATCTTTACCTTCTGCCACTGCTGTGCATACAAGTTCAACCGTGACAACTGATTGTCAGACTGACTCATGCTGTAAGTGTACACACATTATGAGAACTTGGCAAACACAGTACTGGTTTAACATGCTGAAAGTAAAAAGCACTCAATTCATCCAACATTTGTTGCATAAACACAGGAAGAGGAAAAATTCTTTGTATGAAAAGGTCTTTTTTTGTGAAAACAACAAAGTCACAAAAGGCAGCACCTGAAATCATGAGTTGTCCTTGAACTTGATAAAAATATTCATGATAATGGGGAGTTTTCTTGATTGAAATTATCCCATCTGTATTTTGCAAGCAGAACTTTGGCAATAAACAGCAGGCATCACTGATCGACATGTCTCGGGCTGAGTATGAACATTTTACTTCTATGATGCCTGTAATACCATCTTCACACACCTTCCCATCTGGTGTAGCTCCTAGAAATGGAAACTTTCTGTTCACTACAAGACCACAATCATGAACATGATTACCTGACTGCTTAATGTATTTTTCAATAGCTTGTCTTTCATTACTTTTGCCATAGCTGGTTGCAGCAGATGTGAAAGCCTTTTCATTTATGATGTTGTTGATGAACTTTTCTGTGATGGTTTTTCTTTTGAGTATGATCCCAAATGTGGATGCTGTCAGCCTGTGTTTCCTGGCTTGAAACCACAACTGACTGTTGGTCTGGTCCCTTGTTAGTTGCTCTAACTGTTCACATTGCTCCTGTGTCGTATCCTCGATGTGGTACTCTGCTCCAAGGGTCACTGTGGCGGCCTGGGGAAAAGCTAGATTGCCACATCTAGTGCCAACAGATTTTATTGGCTCAGTCTCAAAAAACTTTGCCTGAAATAAAAAGCAAACTGACATGAGATCAAATTAACAATGTTTATTTGTCATTACATTATAACATCAATTTGTATTTGGCAGAATTGATTTCCTTTTACTTTTAAATGTTTCAGGGATCGACCCAATGGATATGATAGTACTTATTGCAGAGAATGAGAGCCTGAAGAGAGATCTGTCAAAATGCAGTTTGGAGCTTATAGATGTCAAGAGAAAGCTGAAAAATACTGAAGAGGAATGTGAACATTTAAAAAAGCAAAAAACATTTACTTTTTCAATTGATGTTATGTTGGAAGATGCTAAGCTTATTCGGTACTACACAGGCTTTAACAAAGAAACCTTCATTGCCATATTTAGGTATTTAGTTCCAGATCCTCAATCATGTCCTCTTAGGTATCTTGGGAAAGGAAAATTGTCCAAAATTAGGAAACTTTCCCTTGAAAATCAGTTGTTTTTGACGCTTTGCAAACTGAGGAATAATTTTCACTTGCAGGATTTGGCTTTTAGATTTGCAATTACTCAGCAAGTTGCAGGTGTTATCTTCAATTCCTGGATAAATTACATGTTTCTCAGGTTTGGGGAGTTAAGCATCTGGCCCCACAGAGATGTCTTGTATGAAAGGATGCCAGAGGACTATAGGAAAGATTTTCCAAGTACATTTCCTATTGTTGACTGCACAGAAATTAGAATTGAAAAACCATCTTCACTAAATACCCAAACTCAAACGTACAGCAATTACAAGTCCACTAACACATTGAAGGCATTAGTGGCTGTAGATCCGAGAGGCTCAGTTATTTTTATTTCTATGCTGTTCTCAGGGGCAATGTCAGACAAAGAAATATTTAAGCAGTCAGGTTTTCAGTCAACACTGATTGATCTTCTTGAGATTGGTTATCTGGAGGAGGGAGATGGAATTATGGCAGATAAGGGGTTTGATATTGAAGCAGAAGTAGAGAAAACAGGGCTTCGACTGAATATACCACCATTTGCTAAGTCTGGTGTACAGATGAGCCAAAAAGATGTCATCTTCACTCAGAAGATTGCTGGGCACAGAGTACATGTCGAAAGAGCTATACGCAGAATCAAAAGTTTCAAGATTCTCAGTGGCCGCATTCAGCTATCAATGATGTCTTCAATTGATCAAATTTGGTATGTTTGCTCTTTTCTGACAAATTTCATGCCTCCTTGTATCAGAAAGAAGTAAATTGAGACACAGTACATGTACCGTATATCGCTGTGTATAAGGCGACCCCAGGTATAAGACGACCCCCCTGTACACGCCTTAAAAATCAACCCAAAATCCTATACTCCGTGTATAAGGCGACCGGGAATGAAACACATCACAAGTCTGACTGATATAGAAGATTTAACGTGCTCTTGCCGACTGTAGCGTATTTCGCACACGGACATCACATGTTAGTTTGTTAGTTAGTTACTTCTGAGATTTAATGTGCGCTTTCCGACTGATGCGTATTTCGCACACATCAAAAGTGCGCACACAAACCTTATATATGCAATAAAAATATGTTTATCTTGCTTTGGTTTTTTTTACAATGGTAGTTGTTTTTGTAACACTGCAAAATTCTTTTTAGACCTATCATGTTATCAGGCTAAATTTGTGTTTGTACTGCATACCAAGGTTCTGCTGTCACATGTTTGTTAGCATTGTTTGAGCTTGGGCCAAAGGTCAGATTCACAGGTAGCAATGTAAAATTACATAATTTACATAATAATAATAATAAAATTCAAAAATAATCATGATAATACTTTTGTCAAAACTGAACCACTTGAACTATAATTTTATGTGACCTGTCACCTATTCAATTACATGAAGTGATTTTAATCCAAACTTCCTTTCGCCCAAACACATGAAGTAATTTTAATTCCAGCTTTTCTTTTCTAGATAGGACATTGTCCCTGATTTCAACTGAGCTTATAAACATGTAGCTTTAGCCCTATTTACCATGATTTACTGTTACTATAGTGTTAAAACCTGACAGTGTACAATGGGACCTTGATAATGGTCACACCATGTGAAAAACATCCTCCAGTAATAATGATATAGAGTAAAATTACTGTACAAAATTCTGAATTGCTGTATTAGGAGTTTCACTATAATAGCATCCTCAATATCTCCGGTGGCTACCCCTTAATAACAAACATGTTAAGGTTGGATATATCCAGTCATTTCCCATTGAGTTACAACATGCTTGGCAGGTAAAGGTTGTGGTCAAATTCTAACAAACACTAAAACCATTGCTAAACTTACATGCGTTGACAAGCCACTGCCAACAGGGACTGGTCCAACATGAGTGTGCACAGTTTTTGAGGGGTTGCACACAAGGTATCCAATGGGAAGGTGTTTTAGGCCTTGAAGATGTTCAACATCTGTCTCCTCGACCCGTACATTTCTGTAACATGTAATTGTCTATCTCACTTTCTTAATCCAGAGAACTTATTGTGCAAACATGAAAGCTCACTTCCTTGTTGAAGTTTATGCCGTTGATGAATTCAAATGTGTCTTGTTGAACATGTTATACATTTAAGAGTGATAAGCATGATAATTATCATATTATGGCATCTATTTCCATTGAACATGATGATTATCATTTAGTTTATATCAATGTATATTTAGTTTATATAATCAAAGTTTATTTAGTTTATGTAAATGTTTATGATACATGTCATACCAGTGAATTTTATGTATACATTTGTTTGCTTTGAGCGAAATAAGGAAAGCATAATTCATGAAATAAATCAGTATAAATCAAGTACCTGCATTCTGTCAATGTATTAGTAACTGGTTTCTTTTTCCTGTCTGGTTTGGGGTTGACAAAAACTAAATGTGGTACATCGCCTGCTTCAACTTTGGTACACCGAGGTTTGCTCCACTGTTCTGGAAGTGATGTGCAGGACAGCTTTGATGGATCCTCAGTGAAACCCATCAACTGCCATTGCTGCAGTGCTATGATGAATCCAATGACATGGGAACATGATCCACTAGCTCTGAAAAAATTAGAGAAATTCAAAATTGATGCTAAATAAGATTGCAAGTTTTTATAATCCATACAAATAAAACACTAAAAAGTTAGTTGCATATTTGACAAATATATCAGATGTTAGTATTGATCTTTTTTTTAACAGGTGATAAGGTGTTTTTGATATGGAAAACTTAAAGAGTCCAGTACTGTAAATTAACACACAATAACTTTTCTTTCGCTAGGAGATATGAGTGAAATGTCTTTACACAAATTTATTATCATGATCATTACCTCTAGATGTAACTATTATCCTGTTAGCCTCAGCATATTGAACGAATGTATCACGAAATTAGGGAACTTGATACGTTTGTATCAACAATAAATATTACGGGATAATGCATCTTGTCAACAGTAACGAGACAAACCTGGTTGTAAACGGTCAACTTACCCTGCTTGACATGAACAATAGGCATAGGATATTTCTTCAGGCTTGATGTCAACATGAACAGCATGGGGCGGCTCGTTTTTCTTCATACTGCGATAGCACTTGGCACTACTGACGATGGTGTCATTCTCTCCGTAAGTCATGCTTACTGAATGGAAGTACCCCTCACTAAAAAACTTAAACCCTTGCTGTTTACTTTTCATTGAAAATGACACCTGTTTCATAAAAGAAGTCGACAAATCAGCCTGTAAATCCGCCAACGAAGCTCTCCGAGTTTGACAAGAGGCAGCCATGTTGTTTATAAGTTTGTCTAAGGAAGTGGTGGAAAGGTCGTGACCTCTTTGAAGGCGTGGCTTAAGGTTCCATGCGGAGAGGTCAATTGCGTGGCTCGATGCTCATGATATTAATCACTGGATTGTCTGGTCCAGACTCGATTATTTACAGACCGCCGTCATATAGCTGGAATATTGCTGAGTTCGGCGTTAAACAACAAACAAACAAACAAACAAACCTATTTATATGTAAACAATTTAGTACCTGCACAAAGTCCCTTCGAGAAGCGTGAAGATTCCGGGGTACAATAGGTCTTCAGCAACCCATGCTTGCCATAAAAGGTGACTATGCTTGTCGAAAGAGGCGACTAACGGGTTCTGGTGGTCAGGCTCGCAGACTTGATATGATGCATGTCATCATATCCCAATATTGTGGATCGATGCTCATGACTCGATTATTTACAGACCTCTGTCATTTAGCTGGAATATTGCTGAGTGCGGCGTTAAACAACAAACCAACCAACCAACTAATCAACAGTCTGGAGCCTAAATTTAGTCTAGATCTGTTTGATTGATGCAGTGTGTGACCTGGGATTGGTTGGGTTTGATTTGTTTGTTATTGAACGCCGCACTCAGCAATATTCCAGCTATATGACGGTCTGTAAATAATCGAGTCATGAGCATCGATCCACAATATTGGGATATGATGACATGCATCATATCAAGTCAGCGAGCCTGACCACCAGAACCCGTTAGTCGCCTCTTTCGACAAGCATAGTCGCCATTCACGGCAAACATGGGTTACTGAATACCTATTCTTCCACGGGACCCGTGGAGATTCCGGGGTAAAATAGGTCTTCAGCAACCCATGCTTGCCGTAAAAGGTGACTAAAGGGATCGGGTGGTCAGGCTCGCTAACTTGGTTGATGGATGTCATCGATCCCAATTGCGTGGATCGATGCTCATGATTTCAATCACTGGATCGTCTGGTCCAGACTCGATTATTTACAGACCGCTGTCATATAGCTGGAATATTGCTGAGTGCGGCGTTAAACAACAAACCAACCTTTCGAAGTACATCATTGATTGCTTGACAGACCTCAGGAGATACGAGTTGTTACGATCTGTATTGTCGTATGCTACAAGTTGTTACTACATATCGCACCGTGAGAACGCACATCAATTGGGAATTGGTTGTTTGCATGCCATCGTTTCCACAGATGGCTGCACGTGATGTCAATCACAGGATGGCCTGGTCCAGGCTAGATTATTTAGTTGGTTGGTTGGTTTGTTGTTTAACGCCGCACTCAGCAAAATATGACGTCGGTCTGTAAATAATCCAGTCTGGACCAGACAATCCAGTGATTAATATCATGAGCATCGATCGTTGGTTGGTTAACGCCGCACTCAGCAATACTCCAGCTATATGACGGCGGTCTGTATATAATCGAGTCTGGACCAGACAATCCAGTGATTAATATCATGAGCATCGATCCACACAATTGGAATCGATGACATGTATCAACAAGTCAGCGAGCCTGACCTCCCGATCCCGTTAGTCGCCTTTTACGACAAGCATAGCCGCCTTTTACGGTTGCTGAAGACCTATTCTACCCAGGAATCTTCACGGGTCAAGATTATTAACAAACTGTTGTCATTTGACAACCGTCCATAGATTATTTACAAACGGTTGTCATATTTTGCCGAGACCTGCGTTAAACGACATACAAACAAAACACACAAACAATTATAGTGGTTCCCGGGACCAATGTGTCCATAAAGGCTTGATGAAAATGAAAGTTTGTTAAGTGGTTAAAAGTAAGACATACGTTTTGACAATTTTCGTGAAAGTCACCTTCCCTCAATATTGCTCACCAGAACGCCGTAGACAACTGAACCGATCATCTCGGCACATCATTTGCGATGGAAGATGTTTGTCCACATATAAACAACCGCTTCAGCAAAAGAACTTTATTCAAGAAAGTAGGCCAACTGCTGAAACAAGGTACATGTACATGAGAGAGTAATACATACTTTATATACAGAGCATACAATGCACGCCTGAAGACAACACGTGAATGAAATAATGTTAATTCGTCTTTGGTGAATTTTGTGAAGCTACTGATAGTTATGCAACATTAACTATTGCCGGCGACTTTGACGGGATCGGGTGGTCAGACTCGCTAACTTGGTTGATGCATGTCATCGTATCCCAATTGCGTAGATCGATAGTTATGATATCAATCACCGGATTGTCTGGTCGAGATTCGATCATTTTACAGACCGTCGTCATATAACTGGAATATTGCTGAGTGCGGCGTTAAACAACAAACCAACCAACAACCACTGGAATTTCGCAACTCGAAGTTACCCTTAGAGTACATCATGTGAACACATATCAAGAAAAGGTTCTACCTTTGTGAAAAAGATTATTTTAGTCTTTACAAGATAGCACGTCAAAACTTAAACATAATGGAAACACATACATTTAGTACGGTTATAACGAACTCAAAGGGACTACTAATTTAAGTTCGTTATAACCGTAGTTCGTTATAAACATATATACAGCATAACTACAGCAAATAGTCGGGACTAAAAAGTAAGTTCGTTATATCCGTTAGTTCGTTATAAGCGTGTTCGTTATAACCGTAGTTTACTGTATGTATCGCAAAACATACATGTTCCGGACAGACCAACACTGCAGTAATATCATATATCTGTGTGTTCTTGGGATATATACAGGCGCATACCGTCTTTAATTGGGAAAACGGTAAAGAACTTGGTTTTAAAAATATGTAAGTCCATTCTATTGCATGACATTGATACAATCAAGTCAGCCAGTTGCGTCACATCTTCCCGAGGCAAGGGCGTTAAGTGACTACAGACACGTAAGTCCAGCCAAAATGTAACTCCGGAATTCCGACCCGCGAAGATCCGGGGTAGAATAGGTCTTCAGCAACCAATGCTTGCCGTAAAAGGCGACTATGCTTGTCGTAAAAGACGACTAACGGGATCGGGTGGTCAGGCTCGCTGACTTGGTTGATGCATGTCATCGATCCCAATTGCGCTGATCGATGCTCATGACATTAATCACTGGGTTGTCTGGTCCAGACTCGATTATTTACAGACCGCCGTCATATAGCTGGAATATTGCTGAGTGCGGCGTTAAACAACAAACCAAGCAAACCAACCAACTCCGGAATTCCAACTTAGTTCGGCTGGGGTGGAAACTGGACTTTTAGAGTCAGTTATCGTCTTTGCCTCGGGAAGATGGCCACTTCAGTACTGAAACATTATCATTGTGTGTACAGTGCTATGTGATACGTTGGGGTTAGCCTTTTCGTTTTGGAATTAAGTCCAGATTTTATTCAGCTACAGTGCAAAACCGGATATTTCATTAACACCATGAGCCAAAGTTTTTAAAAAAAGAAAATCACATTGAAACAATGTAACATTTGTGGCAGACAATTTCTTTTTTCCCCTACAATATGAAGCAGAATTTTATTTCAAGAATATTAGGTCGCTATATGGCTGAAATAATGCCGACGCGACGTTAAATTTTAAATCACACTCGGAGACCATTTGTTTTTTGACTACAGAATTACAGAACCGCAATACATCAATATGTGAAATGGTCGGCCTCAAAGGCGATATGATTAAATATAATACTGTTCAGGGTGAGATAAGTGTCAAGTAATGGTGGTTTCCAAACGTTTTATGATGGACATCTGTTCCACCCTGACCCGTGAAGATCCGGGGTAGAATAGTTCTTCAGCAACCCATACTTGCCGTAAAAGGTGACTATGCTTGTCGTAAAAGGCGACTAACGGGATCGGGTGGTCAGGCTCGCTGACTTGGTTGATGCATGTCATCAATCCCAAATGCGTGGATCCATGCTCATGATATTAATCACTGGATTGTCTGGTCAAAACTCGATTATTTACTGACCGCCGTCATATAGCTGGAATATTGCTGAGTGCGGCGTTAAACAACCAACCAACCAACCAACCAACCAACCAACCAAATCCAAGTTGACTGATCAGTGCCGTCTGAAGCAGCTACTTATATTTATTATCCCCCGACCCAACGAAACTTTGCATGTCTATGAGACTCATGCTGAACTAGTGCCTTTTGCTATTTAGGAATTTTAGATTTTTTTGATTTTTTACGTTTCCTTGGCAACCAGTTGGACTTAGGTTCTATATGGGTGGTGCTCATTTCCGGAGCGTAACTAAAAAACTGTTAAATACTTTCTTACAAAACTTTGCATGTCTACCAGGCACATACTGAATTGGTGTCTTTTCCTGTTTAGGAATTTTATAATTTTTTTACGTTTCCATGGCAACAAGTTGGATTTAAGTTTTATTATAGGGTGGTTCACTTATGGAGTATAACAAATAGACTGTTAAATATTTCCTTGCCAAACATTGCGTGTCTATATATAAAGCACATACTGAACTGGTGCCATTTGATATTAAGGAGTTTTAGAAATGTTTATTTTAGAATTTCCATTGCAGCTATTTTGACATGGGCTAAAAGAAAAGTTTGGTCAGTTACCTGGTTTTGGACCATAACGTGTTACAATGGGCGGGGGATATAGATGACTTCGTCGACTATACGCTTGTTCCACATGGAAGTAGGAGAATGTTGTATATTACATTCGTACGGAAGCGTGGTGGGGCCACGGTGTCTAAGTATCTCCTACGTAGGACATACTATCTCCTATGTAGGACTTAGTATGGCCTAGAATTACTATCTCCTACCTAGGACTTAGTATGGACTAGAATAACTATCTCCTACGTAGGACATACTATCTCCTACGTAGGACTTTGTATCTCCTACGTAGGACTTAGTTGGGCCTAGAATCACCATCTCCTACGTAGGACTCAGTCCTACGTAGGAGATAGTAAGTCCTAGTAAGTCCTACGTAGAAGATAATAAGTCATACGTAGAAGATAATAAGTCCTACGTAGGAGATACTTAGACAAAACAGATCACCGTGGCCCTACTACGCTTCCGTACATTCGTGCGTTTATCTTTATGTCAGTACGATTTCACACACAAACGGTTGCGAGCCTGAATTACAAAAGTCGTCATCCCATATATTTTTGTCGATTTCCAAACACATTTTATTGGAGTTAGACATTGAAAAGCCAGAGATGGAAGTTCCATCTATCCATTTCCAAGAGCCAGGAGTTGCCGTTTGCTGCCCTCCAATGAAGTAGTCTACATCGCTGTTTCCGATGATATCTATAACAAAATGAATGACTGAATGAGTTGTATTTAATGTAGTCTTTAGATTTGAACATAATCGCTGTTATATCTGTAAGTTCATATGTGAGAAAAGCCCAAAACGAAACGCCGCACTCAGCACTATTACAGCTACGTCAACAAAGTCAGCGAGCCTGACCACCCGATCCCGTTAGTCGCCTCTTACGACAAGCAAAGTCGCCTTTTAAGGCAAGCATGGGTTGCCGAAGACCTATTACCCCGGAATTATCACAATACTAAACTCGATATTGTGGTATATTAATTTTTTGAAAGTCGTGACTAGTTCTGGCATTACACGGGAGCTCGTTAAGAATTCTATTATTGTCAGAATGGAGAGTTCTTATGATTGTGGAAAGGGTTTATGGCTTGTATTATTACGAATCACGACGTTTCTGAAAAGACGTTAAAAACGTCGAGTAGTGGTGCTGTATCGCTTTTGCAACTCATGCTTGCCGTAAAAGGCGACTATGCTTGTCGAAAGAGGCGACTAACGGGATTGGGTGGTCAGGACTATGCTTGTCGAAAGAGGCGACTAACGGGATCGGGTGGTCAGGCTCGCTGAATAGGTTGATGCATGTCATCGAATTCCAATTGCGTGGATCGATGCTCGTGATGTCAATGACTGGATTGTATGGTCCAGACTCGTTTATTTACATACCGCCGTCACATAGTTGGAATATTGCTGAGTGCGGCTTTAAACAACAAATAAACAAACAAAATTACGCTCTTGGCTGACCTTGCTGTTAATGTTACAAAGATAAGGCATTATTATTAATTTATTACCATATATCGCCTGCCGAATATAAGTATCCTTGGCGCTGTTCTGAAGAACTATGAGGTCGCCTCCCTCAGCTTGACAGACAGTGCGAGCATTAGTCCAGGTTCGTTCAATTGTTTGGATCTTGTAGCACACGTTGATTTTCGGCTCATGTGAGTAGCCTTGGCTTGTTGGACATGTCACTGGAATTGTAGAAGATTCATAGATGAGTTTTATGACAACCGAGCTATCATAAATTGTACGATTCCAGAATCTATATTTTGGAAAAGTCAGCTAGTATATGTGATTCTACAATCTCCATATTCTAGGAAAAGTTAACTTATTACATTGTCTATGAATAAGGAGACTAAGCTTGTCGAAAAAGGCGACTAACGGGATCGGGTGGTCAAACTCTGTTGATGAACGTCATCGCATCCCAACTGCGTAGATCGATGCTCATGATGTCAATCACTGGATTTGTCTGGTCCAGTCTCGACTATTTACAAGACCGCCGTTCTGTAGCTGCAATAGGATTGTCTCTGGTATTGAAGTCATATAGCTGGAATATTGCTGGGTGCGGCGCTCTTTTCCTATCAACAGTTATGAGAGTATTTTATGAATGCTTCTACTACTATTTCACTAAGTTATTTTTGAACTTCCTCTGCTTCTTTGAGTGAGTTGGGTTTAACGCCGCTTTTAACATCATTCCAGTTATATCACGGCGTGTCAGCTTAATGTGGGGGGAAAGCCCGAAGTGATGCAGGTCTAAGACGTTTACCACTTCGGTGAAACCCACGAGCACTGGTATGGTGCTGACAAACCTAGAAACATAATCGGGGCGAACCGCGATTCGAACCCACAATCATAGGTTTCTGGCGTGCCCAAGGGACGCAACTCTGCACAGCGAATCGCGGCGCCTGAGACGACTGGGCCACCCGTGCCCCCTCATACAATGGAGGGGCGGTCGGCTAGCCTAGTGGCTAAAAAGCGTTCGCTCGTCACGCCGAAGACCCGGGTTCGAATCCCGACATGGGTACAATGTGTGAAGCCCACTTCTGGTGTCCCCCGCCGTGATATTGCTGGAATATTGCTAAATGCGGCGTGAAACCAAACTCACTCACTCATACAATGGACGAATCAAGGGATTAATGATGGATAACGTTTCTGTATAGAAGGCTTCCCAGATGGCTGCTTCCCTTACAATTCAAAGATGCACACAGATGCCCGCGTGAATAATTCTATCGTGATCACACAGTGGGTACGTCAATATTCATAACGTTTTGTGCAGCATGTCCAATATGTCATATTACATACACAAAAACCTTTTCACTTTTTGATCTGGATCAATTCTTGATTTCTCATTATCACGGAACTCTCGTTTCGGTGGAATTCTATGCACGAGACAGACAATGTTAATAGCCTGTGGGTAATTGGGAGCACAGGTATAATTAGGAAAAAATGTACAGATATTCAAGGTGACCACAGATGAATACGATTGTGTAGCCTATGGTTTGTTTAGCAGGTACCAATAGGTTGGACCCGTGAAGATCCGGGGTAGAATGGGTCTTAAGCAACCCATACTTGCCGTAAAAGGCGACTCATGGGATCGGGTGGTCAGGCTCGCTGACTTGGCAAACATGGGTTGCTGAAGAGTTTATTTCGAGATGGGCGGAACTGTACCGGTATAAATTCGCCGGGGAGAGATTTTATTCTGGGGGCGAATATATTTCGTGACACCGGCTCTTCACGGGTCCCAAGATGGCGGGTGTCACTCCTTGTCTGTATGTATAAATAGAGGGGTGTTTCTTTTCTATACGGATATATTATGCTATACACGCTGTCATCCAGTTCCTGTGGTCTTAAAGTTGCCAGCGCATGTGCGAACATACAGAAATGATGTCATGAGAGAACAATGTTTTATCGTGAAAGAAACCACGCTTCGTTCTTCGCTGTTCTTTGTAATTTATGGCGTAGCTATCTCATATATGAAAATATAGGAACGGTGCTAAGGCATTTCAAGGAGCATGTGTCTATGTAGAGAACATTTAATTTATCAACAATCTATATTTGTCGACCAGAAATCGGGAAATTCCTCGAAACTAGTACGTTTTTTGGACTGACACCAACAAACACTTGAATTAAAGTCAACGACGATGATATCATAGTCATTAATATTGTGACATAAAATCATCAATTATAGAAAATCGTTTGACTGATCACACGAAGTAATAATAAGTTGATGTTTCTGCACTGAGTAAGTGGTCTATTTCCATGGTAACATGTACATAGTTACTATGTTATGCGTGATCGGATCCTTCATTCAAGTATCACAACTAGGATAAATGTTACGCCAAGAGTGTCAAACGGAAGACAATGATCAATAATTCAAAGAACCAGTGGTGGTAATCACGTCGCAAATTGGATGTTATTGATATTGTGAAAGTTTTTTCGCGTTGTGGTATCAATATATCGTAGCCAGAGAATTAAAAAGTCGTATCTGCAGATCCCGAAATTTTCAAACATCTGACATAATCGATAAAAACATTTTTATTTAATGCAGCCTGAACTTTCAAAAATCATTTTTTGGTTACCAGTAAAATTACAAAAAAATAGTATCTTGACATTAACATTATTATTTTTTACTTTTTTATTTTTATTTTATGAGCTATTTTATAAGCGATGTCCTTTTGCTTCTGACTAGGTTTTATCATAAGTTTGTTTGCATGGTCGTAAGTGTCGCATACTACCTTTGTCAAATATATCTTTAGTCTTCCCCGTGAAAGTAAGTGGCTCATACGTCCTTTTAACTGAGGAAAATCACATCTACATGTATGCAGTTACTACTTTTGGAAGTGTTGAATACTATATTACTATAATATAACCAGAATTGGTTTGACTGAAAAAGTGTTGAAGTGTTGAAATGTTGATTGACATTTTAAAAAACTCTTTACAAATTGAAACAAACAATACTCTTTTTCAAAGGCATTTATTTATTCATTGTGTTTACACAGCTATAAAGCTTACGTTTTTGTTATGCAACAACCTTGCCTTGCTTCTATAACATACTTTAAATGCAGATGTCTCCAGAATACATAACAATAATTCAACTTTAAAATAGGGACGGTCTGAAATCCCAAAGGTTAAAATTACTAACAAATCAGTAATTTTCAATTCAAGAACAAAGGAACTTCTAAAATACTAAGTATCAAACATATTTGTCAGAAATTTAAAGTTAACTGTTCAACATACATTAAGGAACGTCTGGAATACAGTGATGATATCTCGTATTTGAAGAAAACTTAATATACAAACGCTAAATATATTTAGTTTTCCCGTGCATCATGCCGAATACCGATAATGTTCCATTTCAAAACAACCAAACTACTAAACAGAGTTATCTATAGACATGTGATAAAGTATGGGGGATGTTCTTAACTTCTGAGTACAGCATGAACGTTTCTTCATTGTCTGAAGGGAATATTAACTATTTAACATAGGATTGGCTATGCAAAGTCTAATCGCCCGAGACCTATTATAGTTCGATTCAATTCTATGGACTGCAAAGTGAGAGCAATAGGCCTGCGCGATAAACTGAAGGAGAGTGGATATGGTATAGGCAGTGATCTCACCACACACCAGAGGAAAGTACTCCAGGATTTGAGACGTAACAAAAAGCAAGGCTACTACAAGAATGGTGCCCTTGTAGTTAAGGATTACCAACAGCATTCAGATAGGCAGGATACAGATACTAATAATAAATAGAGGTGTGGCCGAGGCCCGGATTATCGCTGTGTTACAAAATCAATTTCAGATTTTTTGTTCTGGAACATTTCCGGTATTACTAATAAACTTCTAGACAATGAATTTGTTTCATATATCACACAGTTTGACCTGGACTCACAGAAACATGGGCCAAGGACTGAATTTGATCAACAGCTCGGTGATTATCAGCCATATGTTTTGTCTGCAGAGAGATTGTCATCTTTTGGGAGATTATCAGGGGGGATTGTAGTACTTATTAGAAAGTCTCTAGTCAATAATGTCAAAGGTCACATTATTGGACAGAATGTGATATATGTTATTTTGGATAAATCGGTATTTAAGCTAGAAAAAGATGTATTGGTAGCTTGTGTTTATCTCAATCCTGATGGGTCAACTTGGTACAGGGGTAAACCAACAAAATGTGGAATAAGTTTATTATTTTGAATCCTTGTTAGATGTTATACAAAAATATGGTGATATGTTTATCATGCTTGGAGGTAATTAGCCCGATGCCGCAGAGAGTGATATTGCTGAAAGGCTTGGCATTCAGGAACCTTCTGATATTTATGGCAATATGATCACCAAACGTTTCTCTTGTGATACCACTGTTAATCGCCTTGGTAAGATATTACTAAACGTATGTAGTGCCTTGAATTTGTGCATTTTCAATGGCCGATGTGGATCAGACGCGGCAAAAGGTGACTATACCTTCATCAGCCACAATGGCACAAACGTAATCGACTATATTGTTGCATCCCCTTCTTTGTTTATGTTGTGCAAACAGTTTGACATTGCAAATAGAACAGAGTCGACGCCTATGCCAGTTACATGTTCATTTCACGCACGTGCCAATTCTGGATCGAGAGACCGTGAGCGTGTTGCACGAGACCCAGGGGACAGCTACCGCTTTGTGTGGAACGAAGACAAAACTCAAACTTTTAGAGACAGTTTACTGTCTACAAATTCTATTTCAATGCTTGACAAGTGTTCAGATTTTATCACTTCAGGTAAAATTGATAAAGCAGTTGAGGTATTTTCAGATGTTTTATGTACCACTGCGAAATGTATGAAACGCCCTTCTTATATTGCTAGAAGTAAAGAGCCATGGTTCGATAAGGAGTGTGAATACCACCGCTGTGAAAGATATCGGCTTCTTAAGGTTTTCCGATCACTAAAAGATTCGTCATCTCTTTGTAATTATATTAAGGAAAGAAATACTTATACACATGTTATCCGTGAAAAAAAAGAGTTATATCAAGACAATGTACAGAGTACCATTTTGACTAACTTGGATAACAGAACAATATTTTGGGCAAATTTGAAACGTTTGTCTGCTACCACTGTCCGTCCTAAGCCAAATATAAATATTGAGCAATGGTTTTAACATTTTAAGGGGTTGTTCGATTCAGAAATATGGGATGAAGATAACACTGTACCAGAT